TGTGTTGGCACATTCTCAACTTCTGGAGGTAAGCTGTTCCACTGATTAATTGTTCTAACTATCATGAAATTTCTCCTCCAGAAGAACCTGTCTCCAGAAGTTGTGGGTGCTCCAACACTGGGGGTCTTTAAGAAGAGACTGGACAACCATTGGTCTGAAATGGTATATGGTTTCCTGCCTGAGCAGGGGGGTTGGACTAGAAGACCTCCAAGGTTCCTTCCAACTCTGTTATTCTGTCCTGTTATTTACAACAGGACGTTTAGTGGCCGTTCAAAATTACAGTCACTGAAAAAGGTGACTGATGACCGTTTTTCTCATGACTGTGGCAGCCTCCCCAGGGTGACATGATCAAAATTTGAACACTTGGCAACTGGTAGGTATTCATGACGGTTGCAGTGTCCCGGGGTCATGTGATCCCCTTCTGCAATCTTCTGATAAGCAAAGTCAATGGGGAAGCCATATTCACTTTACAACCCTGTTAACAACTTAACAACTGCATTGAATTCACTTAACGGTTGTGACAAGAAAGGTCGCAAAATGGGGCAAAACTCACTTAACAACTGTCTCACTTAGCAGCAGAAATTTTGGGCTCAATTTTGGTTATAAGTTGAGGGTTGCCATGTTTCCCACAATAATCAACCAGATGCATCTAGGAACCCTACAAATAGGATCTGGACACACTGCATTGTTCTATTTATGTTCCACAGCAGTGTTTCATTATTTTCATTGACAAGTTTGGGAAATCCTACAAATCATTTATGCCTATTATGCCTAGTAGCCATTGAGAATGTCAGCCTCTGTGGATTTTTTCCAGCTGTCCAAATCTTTTTGTCATTACAATGCTGCATAGCAGCAAATTCCCTAATTTAGCTAAACGGATTTCAATTAAGCAGGAAGAAAGGAGTAATTTCTGAAGGGATAATTTGTTTAAAAATGATCTAGGTTGCTTGGGAAGAGGGTGATAGATTTTTGAGCAAAATACTGCATATCTAAAAATGTATTTGATCAAAATTATTCAATCAAAAATTTGTCCTAAACGAATAGATTTGATCAAATAACATTTCAAAACAAGGGTGATGACAAAAGTAGGTTGCATGTCATGACATCCCAGCACAAATGACACAAAAGGGGATCCTTTTTGTACAATGGAGGCAATTTGGCTAGTGATCAACTAGCCTCTGTTGCACAAAAGATGCAGGATCCACCTTTTCAAGGATTTCTAGCAGACGCTGATATAAAACATTTACCTTGTATGAAATAGGGGAGTTGTAATTTTCAGGAAACTCCCAGCCCAGAAGGACCGATGTCTTAGTGATCATTTTCACTCTGAAGTTTTTGGGAAAAACTGCGGGGAAGAAAAATAATCAGCGAAGGGCGGAGCAGATGATTTGGAGTGAAAATGGCAGAATTTGGAATTTCATTAACGGAGACACGTTTTTTACACACTAGGTGCTACTCCAGTCCCCCAAAGTTACCTCTGGCCATTTGTGCCTCGTGAAAACTCTTATCCATACCCTGTTACGTTACCAAAAAAAAAAAAAATTATTATGATCCCAGGGTCCTTACAGCATCCCAGNTATAAGCCCCTAAAGGCTATGCATGCCCTTTTTTGACAAAAAACGGGCCCGTTTTCACAAAAAAACGGCTTTTCCCCTCATTTTTGCCCCCAGCCCCCAGGAGCACTCTACAAGCCTCCTAAAGGCTATGCATGCCCTTTTTTTGACAAAAAGGGATCATTTTTGCAAAAAAAACGGGTTGTTTGGGGGAGGTCTGCAGAGTGCAAAAACTTTTTTTTTAATTTGCGTCTTCAAAATCTTGGTGTGTCTTATACTCCGATAAATACAGTATATCTTCAGGGAGGGGGGCATTTTACAATAAAGTCTACAGAGAGCCTTGTAACACTCAGATTTTCAGCCTCTTTTTTGAAGGGAAAAAGGTGCGTCTTATACTTCGAAAAATACGGTATGTATAACATCTATAGCATTCCCAGAATCTACTAAGAAAATTACAAGTTTAAAAAATGAAACAAGATGAAATCCCTTAGGACTTTTTCATGGGCAAATCCCCACTTACCTCTTCTAAATCCATTTCTTCCGGACTATTGTATGGATTTTGGAATTGGCCACTTTTAGTTTTCTTCAAGGGTAGCACCACAATGTAATACGCTCTGATAATCAAAGGAAGAAACAGGGGAGAGAATAGATTAAAAGAAAGAGGCAATGAAGGAGAAGAGCTAATCTAAATGGGAAATGTGATTAACGGCGGTAAGACTCAAAGCAGGAAGTATGTATTGGCCTGTCTCACCAATGGTGAAAAATAATTGCCTCCAAGCTCAGTGACTGTGGGATCTAGTTTACAAAATTCCCACAAGATTTCTAGTTAATCCTAGAAAGGTTTCCTCTGGCATTTTATTTCAATAAATAACATGTTTTAAGTTGTTCAGGCAGCAAAATCAAAATGGGACAACTTGCCACAGCCAAATTCACCATGGCCAGTTTGCCACAGCCAACTCACCAGGGCCAACTCACCATGGAACAACTCATCATGGGACAATTCAAAATTCAATTATTTCAGATAATTAAAACATTATGTTATTTTTGTCATTCACATTTCATTTGGTCCCTCTTTTTGCAGCCTTTCTTCTGTGATTCTATTCCACTATTTTTTCAATATTAGTGTAACTCTTGTCCCAGGGCGAGTTGTCTTGTGGCAAGCTGGCCATGGCAAGTTGGCTACAGCAAGTTGTCCTAGACCCCAACAAAACTGGCCCAGGTGGAAAAGATGCAGACAGTGAAAATGCCTGGGTCTAGCTCTAAACGATTCTTTCTGTGTTTTATAACTGAATGGTTCATGGTTCATATGCTTTGATAGCTTCCTGAACATTGACCTGCTTCATATGGAAAGGTCAAATGCAAATGATGAAAGGGAGAAATATAAACTAGGTAGCCAGACTCAACAGGGTCCCCCAATGTATACATACTGAACTGGGGGGTCTGAAGTCCTGACATCTGGCAGAGTCACTATCACGTTGCCATCAATTTCGTGTCGGTAAGACACCTCTGGTTTTCTGCTCAGCATATTGGCTGCGGTGGACACCACCACTTTCTGTTGAAGATCTCCTTTCTCACTTCTCTGGCCCACGAGGGAAAATCGGTAAGATGTTTGTGGCTTCAAGTTGGTGATGAGCTTCTTGGTGGCACTCCCACCCACCTCAATCTCTTGGCCGGTGTTCTCATGCCGGATCTGGGAGAAATGGAAGAAGGGGGCATGTAAGAAACTTAATTGGGACCATGGAAGAAACCTAAAAGAATCCTGCTATACCAGACCAACGTTAACCTTCATCTTATAGGTAGTCCTGGTAGGCAGGAGAAGAAGAAGCAATGGATGAAAACTAATCAAGGAGAGATCCAACCTAGAACTAAGGAGAAATTTTCTGAGAATGAGAACAATTAATCAATGGAACAACTTGAATAGAATAGAATAACAGAGTTGGAAGGGACCTTGGAGGTCTTCGAGTCCAACCCCTTCCCTAGGCAGGAAACCCTATACCACTCCAGACAAATGGTTATCCCACATCTTCTTAACACATCTAGAATGTGTTGGCACATTCTCAACTTCTGGAGGTAAGCTGTTCCACTGATTAATTGTTCTAACTGTCAGGGAATTTCTCCTTCGTTCTTGC